ATTTGTGATTGTGTGCAATGAGATTGGTCAGCTGGTTAGTCCATTTATCCAAACACAATATCTGCTGTGCTGACACAAAGTGACGCATATTTGGTGCACTGAAGGATTTTCTCAAGTACATGTTTCTATCTCTGTTTAAGAACACAATACGCATATAATACACACAAATAAATGGATGGAAATAATAGCTATTGACAGAGAGCAGCACTGTTTTACCATTACACTCACTACACTGTGTGGCAGTAACACCACTATCCACAATACAAGTTTAAGGCAAGCTGGACTCACCATAGAAACCACCTATAGTATGTTATGTGGGAGGGGATATATAGGCGCTATTGTTAAAACTCAATGAATAAGATGAAGAGTGCTTTGCCATGCCATCAAAGCACTGAAATGTCAATGCAGCATGCTGAGCACAAACTGTAATCTACTAGGAAATCACTTTGATCATGAGGTGCTGAAGCAATCTTCATGTTCTCGAATAATCTGAACAACAGTTTATACAACCTGTGTGGGAAAACAACATCATTCTGTTCTGTACCCACCCACCTGTAGTATTACCTCGAAATGAGACATGACAGGGGCTTTCCCTTGGCACTGACCCTCCTCACACTAGCGAAAAGAAACATCTGGTATTATTAAACACCTTGAGTCATGCCATATTTAGCATCAAACCCAAAAAAAACTGAACAGGTTAGGGCTCTTCATGGACAAGGCCACTTACTTTCCACCAGCATAAATGGTTATGGATACAATCATCCATTTCTATATTCTTAAAATTTGGCTAGGCATGCAGCGATTACTTGTTTTAAGGTTTACGGCGGTTTGGAAAATTCACGGTAAAAAAAAAAAAACGCAAAAGTTTTTAGCTCTATTGTTCCTGCCGCATACATGTTTTTTTTTTCCACATGTTGTCAAAGACTATTTTAGACATTTAATTACGGCAACCATATCTCAAGCAGCAATGGACATCAAAAGCTAATCGTCACCCCATGATTCAGCATACATAAGAAAAACAAAATTGCTTATGCGCCAACATTCAAGCATGCTATTGACCTATGAACAGTGCCAGTGTCTTCCTTCATAACCAAAAAAAAAAAAAAGAAAGGTATCCAAAGCTGCCTTTTCAAGATGTAAATAGGGATGCAATAATAAACCGATTTCACTATTAACTGCGCTTTAATTAGCCATGGTTAATTAATCGTAAAGACTTCTTAACACAGTGTTCCTGGACGGAACAAAACTGCAGCAACTAAACAGTCATGCCAACTGTGCGCTAGTTTAAAGTTCCAAGCTTGAAGTGTAGTGTAACGCACTCACGCTTTCCAGGCGCATTTAGTTGAAAGAGTGGCGCAAGTGCACCATGAGCCACAAGACAACAACTCGACTGGTCTGCTTCATACTTTGTACAGACTATACACATTTCTACTCCAAAGAGATGAAAATACCAAACAAGTTCATAATACAGATGATCAAAAGTGCTTTTCAGACAGAGGTTCAGCAGTCTTTGACTACATTTGTTCTCTTTAAAAGGGACATACTCAGCTAATGTGTTGCTTAGATTTACATTAAAGAAATAAAAAAATGTTATTTATTCTTATTCATATTTATTTATTTATTTATTCATTCATTCATTGCTCTGTCATGTTTTGTGTTTAGAAAGAAAATGCTTTTTTTACCCAATCATTTAAATAGAACATATTTTAAAGAAGTAATAAAAACAGTGATATTTTCTATCCAAGGTTATAATTAGGGCTACAGAGTAGCAGCATCAATATTGTAATGTGCACATCCGCAATAGTCACATTGCAGGATCTACAATGTTGAATCTGTATTATTGACCAGAATTTAAAAACCACATTTGAAAACACTCATGATTTGTGGAGCTTTAGCAACGTTTAACCATAAAATTACCAAAATATTTATTATTTATGTGTGTTTAAACATTTAATTCAGTTTAAAAGTATTCAGGCATAAGAGATTACATTTTTAACTGAAGGAAAATTAGTTGCATTTATGTATATATACTATATGGTGTGATTATTAAATTTATGCATTTAAATATTGCAGAAAAACATATAGCAGCACTGTATATTTTGTTTGCACAGTGTTGTTGCTCTACTATATATTTTTCAATGTTTGTGATTGCTTTATTTATTATATTTTATGTTCACTGCCTTGCAAAATCATCCCAAAAGCATAAAAAATTGTGAATTCTTTCCAAACACGCATTCCTTTCATCTGGTGAAATTATATATTTAATATTGCAATATATCTTATGGAAAAATAAAATATCGCAAAGTCAGTTTTTTCAATATCATGCAGCACATCATACCATCAGAATACCGGCTATAATGCCTAAACTAGGGTACCGAATCAATTGTGGAGTACTACTGCATCTCCAAACATAAGAAGCATCTTGATACAATCTAAAAATAGACACGATTTCCCAGAATTGCTCTAGAAACACTGAATGTGTTTTAAGGGAAAACCCAAATAACTTTTCTCCACAAAGCCCCTTTAGATGGGGTATTCCAAACATGTAGACTTCTGACAAGCCCCCTTAGTCAACACAGAGCAAGCATCATTCAAGAAAACTGCCATAAGCAATGAGAAATGTGACTTTGGCTGAGGGCACTTAAAAATGGGAACTTAAAATCTCATGCCAGTAATGAACTTCTGACCTCGAGGTCAGTGAGGCTATGGGAAGTCACTCACCTGGCCTGATTATAACCCTCTTACGGTTTGTTACAGGAGGAAAACGCCCCCATCGTGTCTGACCAGTGCTTCTTCATTTCATAAAATGACTCACTTTTAGCCTTTAAAATGCCCACGATGAGGCACAATGAGATAATTGCTCTGATCTGAACCACACTAGAACAAGAACAGTAAAAACATGAACTCAGTATTATACAGAAACATTAGTCTATGGATCAATCTTGGGAATTCACAAATTCTATAAGGGGAAAGGCTTTTAGATACAAATTAACTACACTAAAGGTTTAAATAGGCATGGGCCAGTATGAGTTTCTGATAGTATGATAGGCTTGGATAAAAGTATCACGGTTTTACGGTATTGTGAATACTTATTAAAAAATTTTTTTTTAAATGTCTGTGTAAAAAACAACAACATATTTTTCCCTATTAAATACAATATATCTTATTTTAGGAAAGATTTAAAATGTTTTGGAATAAGTTAACATGTCAGGCTAAATATTAAAAATAAAACATTGCCATCTATATTAGTTTCAAAACCACACAAGCTTACATATACCATAGGAACTGCATAACAGAAAATGTTTGCAGTTTTAAAACCTCGACTTTTTCAAACCATGGTAAACCTTGAAACCGGTTATCATCCCATGCCTAGGTTTAAATAAAACAGGGGTGCCCAAACTTTTTCTTAGGAGGGGCCAAAAACCAAACTTAATTGAGGGCTGTGAGCTGAAGTTGATATCAAACCGTATTACATTAAATTTGCCAAGGGTAATTTACTAATTTCTAAATTTGCTATCATTTAAAAATAACTAGAAAGCGTTGCTTTAAAACATTAATTAATGATTCAGTTTAAAGTTTTTTTTTTTCATTTTATACCGAACTTAAAAAATTGTTGTTAGTAAAAAACTAAAAATTCCATTTATAACACAATGGAGTTCAATGCTGAATACACTCGTCGAGCTGTTCCTGCCTATGCCTTGATTTGCTCGCAATAGTCTTGTGCATTGTCCTCTTTCTGTCAAGTTAACAGACAGAAAGTTTACAGATTTAGCTTTTAAAAGTCTGATTCATTTACAACCTTTTTTTGTAGCTCCTTAACCACAAAGGTAATGTGAAATTTGAAATATCGATCTCTGTCAAGGCATTCGCCCCAACCAACTTCCCATCATTCTCACACTCATTTCAGTTGAGATGGCGTGCCAAAGCAAAGGTTGCCAAGGACCAACTTTGGCCAGCGGGCCCTACTTTGGGCACTTCTAAAATAAAACATTTTTCAAAAATAAACATTTTAGACCGAATACATTTTAAAAAGCTTTTAAAAACACTTAAAGTTTTTTAGCTTTTCCTAAAATTGACAAATTGACACATATTTACTTTTAATGAACATAAGTAATGTAATAGGATTAATAATAAAAACTAAACAGATTTTATTTATATATATATATATATATATATATATATATATATATATATATATATATATATATATATATATATAAAATCATTATTATTTAGTAGCATTGTTGTTATTTTCTTATAATAATGCAAAGTCGAGTTGCAGATTAACTAGTTTTCTTGTTTTGAAACAGGTTGTGCACTATTCAATTATCATTCAAGAATGATTCTGCTCAATGTCTAATTAATAAAGGTTCTTTAATTGAAATGTAATAAACTATTTATTTAAAAATGCATTTGTTTCCACTCAATTTAAAATCATTCAAACCAATTTGTGAATGGTTTCAACCAAACAACAGAACCCAACTATGGCACTAGGAGCAATATTACAGAACAGAGCAAAAAATCCGTGAGACGATGGCTTTTCATGACGTTTCCAAGACCATTTCAAATTCCCTGATATCTCCATTCACATGGGGACAGAAAAAGGCTTGTCTACACTTTAAGCAAAATCTGAATTTACATGCTGTTCCCAAAGACAAAGTGGACACTTTTGGGGTATAAATCACGAACAATGACTTCCCACATCCACATTAAATGTCCATTCGCTTGCCACTTGGTTTAATAGTGCAGTGAATAGTACACTACTGTCACTAGTAGCCACTACTAAGGTTAGACCTGTCAACACAGGGACAAACATCTGCTCAACCATAACGCCGCTTTACATGCACATGTATATAAATCTGATGTTTACAAACATCTAAACACATATATACATGTACCAACACAACACAGAAGATAAACTAATCAAAGTACTCTTCAAGCCCTCGTCACGACTTCATTTTGCAAACAGACAGATGTGCGGAAAGTAACATTATACATACCTGTAGTTCCGATTTCCATTCATGAGGTCTCTGTCCGGTTCCGTCCCCGGCTCGCAGTTGATGAACTTCAGAAACTCTGACTGTCCTATGGCCGCACAAACCGGTTGCGTTAACCCACCGCAAGCGATTCCTCTCGGTATTAGTCCACCTTCCCTGAGGCTCGTGTGTCACCGGAGATAATGTTTGGTTGCCCGGTATGTGACTCAAACTATCCGGTCGGGATTTCGGGTACGGTTGACAGATTGACGTGACGGCCAGCTAGCCAGCTAGCTAAAACGGTAACGGTAAGTTCCTCTCAGTCAGCCCAAATTCAGTCCCGAGTCTCTGTTTCTGTGACGGCGACGCCTTCAGAAACACGTCTTTGGAAAGACTAGGGCGGTTTGTAGAGGTGTTATGACGTTATAGCAAGTAAAAGTCCACTTATGTCGCCTCCGCTCTTCGACAGAGCTAACTTGCTACTGCTAGTGGCCAGGCTAACCAGCTAAGCTACATTCCCATCTGAGAGGAAACAAAAATCCAGTCGTGTCTTCGCTTAAAGTCCCCGGTCTGCCATGAATTTCGCTCTCGGCTCTAGTGGCTTTTTATAAGCGCGTATTCCCGTGGTTTTCCGCCAGTGGTCACATAAAGTAAGTTGGAAGCAGAACTCTCTCTCTGCCCGCTTTCTCAAACACTCAGAGCCTCTGCGAGACTCGCTGCAGCTAAATATGGAGCGTCTGATCCTCCGTGCGCGCAACCCCGCCAGAGCCGCGCGCTGATTGGCTGAGGAGAAAAGCGCGAGCCCGCGAGGGAAGTAACGTGGTTTTAAGGCAGAGCGTCCATCATCATCATCATCATCATTATACGCGTCATCATTTTAATAGGTAAATATTATATTCATAAATGTACGGAAGAGTGTATGGTTATTACCTGAAAAGTCTAGCATATCCAACAAAATAAGACAGATACATTTTGCAAAATCTTAAAATGTATATCCTCAAACTCCCAAATTGCTCATTATTTTGGTAGCCATATCTACTTCGTGTACTTTCTGCAATATACATAAAGAAACTTTATTTCACTCATTCTATAATTGCACTCATGTAAAACTGCTTTGGAAGAACATAATTTTTTATTTATTGTTCTTGTTTAGATATGATTTAAATTCGTCGTATTTCTCTGATAATGTTCATGCTCTCGATCTTATTGTTAATTTTTTTCTATTACACTGTTATTTTTAATACACAAAAATAAGTTCCTAAAGGCAATAACTAGATTTAATGCACTCTCAGAAAAAAGGTAGACGGTGGTACAAATAAAGCTCCTTAATGAACAGTTTTGTACCTTTGTAAAAGTTGTACCTTACATGGTACAGAAAGGCCTCTAATGATACTGCTCTGTACCTTTTATGGTACAACTGAAATGAAGGTACACAATTGTCCTCATAAAAAAGTGTTGGACAACTCCTTTATTACAATATCTATGAAAAAAAATATGACTGGAAAGGCAAAGTGATTTATGAATAATTTCCATATTAAAACATGAATCATCATTTAAAAACAAAGAAACTCATAAACTTTCATTATTAAGTTCTATAAAACAAAACAACTGGTAAAACAAAACTATTGTAAACTAAATATTTAAGGCATTTTAATAAACATTTTCTGATAAATTCTTGTGACTGTAGTGTTGTCTTCATGGATCAGATTTGTACCTTTGCTGAAGGCACATTATTGTATCTGCAGGTTTTAAAAATCAAAAGTACGTTCTGGTTTTTATGGTACAAATCACGGCCTTAACGGTACAAACTGCAATGGTACAAATTTGTTTCTTTGTCTTAAACTACAATTCTGCTCCATAAAAAGGTCCTGCCACAGTGACAAGGGTTTGTACCTTCTGTGGTACAAAATGGTACCATTTTTTTCTGAGAGTGTACTTTTCTTACTGAAATTTTGTTCAATATTGAATCTCTTAGGCTTATTATTATTAATAATAATAATAATAATTTTTTAAAGCTTTAAAAGTTTTTTAATCATTAGCTTTAAAAGTTTTTTAAAGCTAATGATAATCTTTTTACTTAATGATCGATGCTTTGTAAAGTTTTTTCTCTTCTATTTCCTATTTTGTTGTTATTGTATTTTCTCTTTAATGCAGTGATGTATTTTTTAATTCAATAATAAAAAATAAAAAGTGGATGAAAGCAGAGATAAAGAAAAATTGAGTAAAAAATAAAATATATATATATATATATATACACATACATACATACATACAGTTGAAGTCAGAATTATTAGCACCGCTTTGAATTTCTTTTCTTTTTTATATTTTCCAAATGATGTTTAACAGATTTAGGAAATTTTCACAGTATGTCTGATAATATTTTTTTCTTCTGGAGAAAGTCTCATTTGTTTAATTTTGGCAAGAATAAAAGCAGTTTTTTATTTTTTAAAAGCCCTTTTAAGGTCAAAATTATTAGCACCTTTAATATTTTTCTCGATAGTCTACATAACAAACCATCGTTATATAATAACTACTTACCCTTACCTGCCTAGTTACACTAATTAACCTAGTTAAGCTTTTAAATGCTTAAATGCTTAAAAAGCTTTTAAAAATATCTAGTAAAATATTATTTACTGTCATCATGGCAAAGATAAAATAAATCAGGGATTAGAGATGAGTTATTAAACTATTATGATTAGAAATGTGTTGAAAAAAATCTTCTCTTCGTAAAACAGAAATTGTGGGAAAAAAATAAACAGGGGCGCTAATAATTTTGATTTCAACTGTGAACAATATATATATATTTTTTTCTCTCTTCAATATTACCAGATTTGCAGATTTTTTTTGTGACTTAAAATATAATAATTACTACATTACAAAATGTTTACAGTACAAAGGTGTAAAAACTGTGAAATTGTATAAGAAGTTTGTAACTATCAATTCATTCATTTTCCTTTAGCTTAGTCCCTTTATTGATCTGGGGTCGCCACAGTGGAATGAACCACCAACTTATCCAGCATATGTTTTACACAGTGAATGCCCTTTCAGCCAGTACTGGGAAACACCCATACACTCTTATTCACACACATCCATTACAGACAATTTAGCTTACCCAATAATAAAAAATAAAATTCACCTATAGTGTACGTGTTGGGACTGTGGGGGAAACCGGAGCACCCGGAGGAAACCCACACCAACACAGGGAGAACATGCAAACTCCACTCAGCTATGCCAGCTGGCCCAGCCAGGACTTAAACCAGCAACTTTCCTGCTGGTAGGCGACAGAGCTAACCACTGAGCCACACTGTTGCCCAATTGTAATAAATTATGTTTAATGTATTATAGTGTAAAAACAAGCTTTTTCCCCACACTGAATACCCTATTTTGGAAATGTCTTATTCTGAAAGTATGATGAGCTGCATATTCATGTCATTCCCAATGTTTGTTAGTTAATAATGTTTCAACTTAAATCTGAATTTAAAGATATACAAGTCAGCTTTAATGTCATTTAAATCAAAGTGACTTAAGGTTAACTTGATTCAAGAGTCATTTCTAACTGAATAGCATGTGGGAGGGAAAATCAGAGCAAAAACCACATAAGTGTCACTTTGTTACACTGCAGAGTTGAAGTTTCAACATTATAGAAGCCAACAGAGATCAAGATGTGAGTACTGAAATCTGTTTTATTTTTATTTATTATTAAAAAAAGATTTAAATCTCTAATTTTGTTTTTAATGTCTGCTTTGTTGACTTATGATGTTGAAAATTCAACTCTGTGGTTTAACAAAGTGTCTTTCATTGACATTTTGGCAGTTTAAAAGAATATACACTTTATTAGGTACACCTTACTGGTACCATGCTGGACCCCTTTTGCCTTCAGAGCTGCCTTGATCCCTCATGGCATAGATTTAACAAGATACTGGAAATATTCCTCAGAGATTTTGCTCCATATTGCCATGATAGCATCACACAGTTGCTGCAGATTTGTCGGCTGCACATCCATGATGCCAATCTCCTGTTTCACCACATCCCAAAGGTGCTCTATTGGATTGAGATCTGGTGATTGTGGAGGCCATTTGAGTACAGTGAACTCATTGTCATGTTCAAGAAACCAGTCTAAGATGATTCACGCTTTATGACATGATGTGTTTTCCTGCTGGAAGTAGCCATCAGAAGATGGAGACAGTGTAGTCATAAAGGGATGGACATGGTCAGCAACAATACTCAGGCAGGCTGTGGCGTTGAGACAATGCTCAGTTGGTACTAACTGACTTAAAGTGTGCCAAGAAAATATCCCCCACACCATTACACCACCACCACCAGCCTGAACCGTTGATACAAGGCTTTTATGTAGTTGATGCCAAATTCTGATCTTATCATCTGAATGTGGCAGCAGAAATGGAGACTCATCAGACCAGACAACGTTTCTCCAATCTTCTATTGTCCAGTTTTGGTGAGCCTGTGTGATTTGTAGCCTAGTTTCCAGTTCTTAGCTGACAGGAGCGGCACCCGGTGTGGTCTTCTGCTGCTGTAGCCCATCCGCCTCAAGGTTGGACGTGTTGTGTGTTCAGAGATGCTCTTCTGCAGACCTCGGTTGTAGCGAGTGCTTATTTGAGTTACTGTTGCCTTTCTATCAGCTGGAACCAGTCTGGCCATTCTCTAAATTTGCGGTGAGCAGTTGGACAGGTGTACCTAATAAAGTGGCCGGTGGGTGTATATAAGAAATCATATATAATTAGATCTGTAAAATAACAGAAAATGTACTGCCAGGTTATTACTTTGTTTATGCACTATAATTTACAAAAATATATCCGTTTAAACTATTAAATAAGTCAATAATAGTCACATTGTCAAATTTTCGACATCAAAAGTTGTTGGAGAGATCAAGCTCCCATAATGCAATTCCAAATCATAAAAACAGAACTCGCAACACAACACGGTTTAATAAAAAACAAATTTTATTTCTTTAAAAAATAATCATCCCGAACAAAGTTCTCTCACTATTACATACAGAGCCAAAATGACTTGCTTTTTTGTGTTCATTCATTGGATCTACTGGGAAGTGCTATGATATGGACTGTTCTTTATCAGTGGCTTAATATTGCTTAAACATTGAGGTCGGGTGAAGTTCACTCTCTAATTCTGCCATCTCGCACCTCCATCTAATTGGTTTTAGGTGCTCGTGGCTTTCAGGAGTCAAGTATACTGCATCAGAATATTAGTCTAGGAGCAATATCACACACTAAGGGTCAATAAAAAAAATAAATCACCTCGTTGGGTCGGTAAAACCTACTATATAAAGGCATGTCTTTGTATACATTTCATAAGCATGAGTTCAAACGCATGTTTACAACCAAAACAGTCAACCGCTGTTATACATTTTCAAAGTTCATCAGATTTCAGACGGCTTTTTCCATCAATGTGGAGATTCTTTGACACTTATTATAACAGTAAAAGCTGTCTTAAAGGGACAGTTCACCCAAAAATCATCATTTACTCATCCACAATTACTTTTTCTGTTAAACACAAACACTTTAAAAAAAAAAAAAAACTATTAGTTACTTTCCTTTAAAAAAGTAAACTAGTTACTTAAAAAAGTGATTAATCAACAGCTAAGTTGACTTAATTTTTATAATTAGGTACATACTTCATTCAATTAATAATTAAGGCAATGGGTGTATTGAGTAAAATCAACTAATCTTGCAAAACAAAAAACTTACTTTTTAGAGAAAACCAATTTTAAAGGCAACTAATAACACATTTCAAAGGCAATCAATATCTTTATAAGAAACGGTTTACTCACTAAAGAAAAGCTTCACTATTAGCTTTAAAAGAAATGAGTTCAAACAAATGTTTGAAGAAAACTAAGTGCTAAAAACACAATGCTACCCACTTTTTAAAGAAAATGTAACTAATCACTCCAAAAGCAATTAATTGACTCACCTAAAAAAAAAATCAACTAATCGCTTAAAGAAATTAGTTCAAACTGATTTTAAAGTCAAGTAATCGTTTTAAAAGAAATTAGTTTAAGAAAAAATAAGTTTTTAAGTAGTCAACTAATTGCTTTAAAAGGGAGACAGGTTTCCTCACTTAAGCAAAATAACTAGTCACTTTAAAACAGTGAATTAACTCGCTTTCTAAAAGCCAACTAATCGCTTTTAAAACAATGAATTTAGTCACTTTCTAAAAGAAAAGTCAACTAATTGCTTAAAGAAATGAGTTAAAACTATTTTTAAAGTCAACTAATTGCTTTTAAAACAACAAACTTACTTTCTAAAAGAAAAGTCAACTAATCACTTTAAAAACAATTCCTGTCTTAAAAAAAGTCAATCAATCACTTAAAGAAATGAGTTTAAATTCCTTTCAGTCAACTACTTGCTTTAAAAACAACGAATTTACTCACTTTCTAAAAGAAAAGTCAATTAATCGCTTAAAGAAATGAGTTTAAATTAATTTTCAAGTCAACTTATTGCTTTAAAAACAATGAATTTACTCACTTTCTAAATGAAAAGTCAGCTAATCGATTTAAAAACAATGAATTTACTCACTTTCTAAAAGAAAAGTCAACTAATCGCTTAAAGAAATGAGTTTAAACAATTTTTAAAGTCAACTAATCAATTTTAAAACAACAAACTTACTTTACAAAAGAAAAGTCAATCAATTGCTTAAAGAAATGAGTTGAAACTCAGTCAACTAATTGCTTTAAAAACAATGAATTTACTCACTTTCTAAGTCAATTAATCACTTTATAAACAACAAGTTTACTCAAATCCTAAAAGAAAAGTCAATTAATCGCTTAAAGAAATGAGTTTAAATTCATTTTCAAGTCAACTTATTGCTTTAAAAACAATGAATTCACTCACTTTCCAAAAGAAAAGTCAACAAATCGCTTTTAAAACAATGAATTCACTCACTTTCTAATAAAAAGTCAACTAATCGCTTAAAGAAATGAGTTTAAACTATTTTTAAAGTCAACTAATCGATTTAAAAACAATGAATTTACTCACTTTCTAAAAGAAAAGTCAATCAATCGCTTAAAGAAATGAGTTGAAACTCAGTCAACTAATTGCTTTAAAAACAGTGAATTTAGTCACTTTCTAAAAGAAAAGTAAATGAATCAATTTAAAATAAATTAGTTTGAGCAACAAAACTTTTTTAAGTCAACTAATCGCTTAAAACGAAACCGGATTATTCACTTTAAGTAACGTCAACTAATCGCTTTAAAAGAATTGGATTTACTCACTTTAAGTAAAATCAACAAATCTATTATTTTTTAAATCTACTTTTAAAACAACATGTTTATCTACTTTAGTCAGGTAATCGCTTTTTACAATAAAGGAGGATATTCTGAAGAATGTTGAAAAAACATTTTCATAATATTTTTTTCTTCCTACTATGGATATCAATGTTTTTTTACAGCACTCTTGAGAATATCTTGTTTTGTGTTCAACAGATGACAGACACTCATAAAAGTTGAGAGCTTTTTGAGCATGAGTAAATTGTGAGGAGCTTTTTCATTTTTCGGCAAACTGTCCCTTAAAATGGAAAGTTCAGCCAATAATGAAAATTCTGCTGTGGTTAATCCTCCCAATAAACTGTGGGAAAAAATGTCAGCATTCAAATCAGCAATAACATTCATGCGAATGGGAAAATGAGCAAATTTTCAGTTTTGGCCCCACTATTCCTGCACAAAAGGTAAGAAAGTATGGCATCAAATATTAGTGCGGGCTCAGTCTTAACATGATTACTAAGAGGCTCCAGTTACAACACTAACTCAGTTTAAACATGCATTTCATAAATCCACCTTATGGCATGATGACATGACATAATGATCCTCTGACCTGCGGAAAAAAGGCCTTTACATGCTCATCAGGTGAGGGTTAAAGGTGCAATGACACTGGCGAGTGTTAAATGTGCTTGTTGGGAAGGGAATGTGGCAGTGTTACTGACACTATGCGAGTGCGAGTGTGTGTGTGTGTGTGTGTGTGTGTGTGTGTGTGTGTGTGTGTGTGGTGACCCAACAGCCAGTACTGGATCACTATATACAAACATGGTTTCCTGCATCATTCACTGTATTGGTACGAATGCATCGAGTTCGTTCTTTGCATGGTAAATGTGCTGTGGGGTTTTCTCTGCTTTTGGTGATGTTGTATTGCTTCAGTGTCAAATCAGTGGAAGAAGCGCTTTTTAAAATGAATAGTTCACCCAAAAATGACAATTTACACACATATCAAGGCATATAATAACGTAATTGTTAAAAAAATTATTAAAATAAAACAAAAGGTGTGCATATGTATGTATGTATGTATGTGTATATATATATATATATATATATATATATATATATATATATATATATGTATATATATATATATATATATATATAATATGGAAAACGAGTGCATCTTTTTACAAAAACTAATGTTGGATTGTATTTTAAATGCGTGTGCATGTTAAAAAATATAATCTGCACAAAGAAATTATAGGTTCTTCTCTAAGTAGTTACTCCACTGTGTGTGTGTGTGTGTGTGTGTGTGTGTGTGTGTGTGTGTGTGTGTGTGTGTGTGTGTGTGTGTGTGTGTGTGTGTGTGTGCCTGTGTATATACACACATATATACAGTTGAAGTCAGAATTATTAGCCCCCTTTGAATTTTTTTTCTTTTTTTAAATATTTCCCAAATGATGTTTAACAGAGCAAGGAAATGTTCACAGTATGTCTGATAATATTTTTTCTTCTAGAAAAAGTCTTATTTCTTTTATTTCGGCTAGAATAAAAGCAGTTTTGATTTTTTTAAAAACAATTTTTGGGACAAAATTATGAGCCCCTTTAAGCTAATTTTTTTTTCCGATAGTCTACAGAATAAACCATCGTTATAGAATGACTTGCCTAATTACCCTAACCTGCCTAGTTAACCTAATTAACCTAGTTAAGCCTTTAAATGTCACTTTAAGCTGTATAGAAGTGTCTTGAAAAATATCAAGTAAAATATTATTTACTGTCATCATAACAAAGATAAAATAAATCAGTTATTAGAAATTGTTTTATTAAAACTATTATGCTTAGAAATGAGTTGGAACAATCTTCCCTCCATTAAACAGAAATTGGGGAAAAAAATAAACAGGGGCGTTAATAATTCAGGGGGGCTAATAAATCTGACTTCAACTGTATATATACACACACACACACACACACACACACACACACACACACACACACACACACACACAGCTTTTAAATCAACATCAAATGTTTTAAATAAACTTCTAATAAGAATAAAATAATAATAATAATAAATAAAATGTTTAAGGGAAATGATTGTGTGTGCTGGAGTTAATTTATTGGTTTTCAGTGGTGAAAATATTTCTAGCAACCTAAAGCATGCAAAAAACCCGTGTTGTTTTTCTATATGCCTTTTAGAATTGCTTTAACAGGTTTTGGGATTCTTTAGTCTTTAGTGTTCCGTGTTTTTGCATTCGTATAAGGTTATTTAACTCCAGAAATCTATATAAACTCAGAAAAAGTGTTGAAATCAACTCTGTGAGTGCTAATTCAACACTCGTCTAATTAATTTATTATTTATACACTGGTAAAGTCCTGGTTGCCTTAAATTGAATCAAATCAACCTTATGAGTCCATTGAATTTATATGATGATAAACTGGCTTAAAACAGCTTGTGTAACTTATACAATTACGTTAAAACATGATTAACTTAGTTTATTGACTTACAATGAACTAAAAACATTTGCTGTCTTGACTAATTGATCATATCATTTTTTCGGTGTATAATATACAAACGGTAAAAATCAATTAGTTGACTTAACTCAAAAAAGGGAGTAAACCCTAATTAAGTTAACTTTACAGTTCCAAGTTATATTGGGTTTACTCACTTTTTTGTGTGAAGTCAACTAGGAGCTTTTTACTGTGTGTGCGCATGTATGAGTGATTCCAAGTCTTCTGAATTGTCAGAGTTAGATGAGGAACTGACCAAAACATTAAGTCATTACTAAATGAATTATCATCTCTTTCACTGAAGTTTTCTCATTTGCAACCACGTGAAATGCAAGAATGCAAGTATTAAAACAGTGCATAACAAGCGTTTAGAAAGCTAAAATATGACTTCAGAAAATGTTTAATAGGTTATGCTGGTGTATTTTTATAAAAAAAAAAAGGTGCTTTAAATATTTTGTGTTGCATTAAAAAAACACACACATAAATGTGAGTAAATAATGACAATATTGCCAATGTTGGGTGAACTATTGTTTTAAAGGAACACTCCACTTTTTAAAAAATAAAATAGGCTCATTTTACAACTCCCTGAGAGTTAAAGTATTGAGTTTTAATTGAGTTTCATTTGAGTGTTTACTGTTTTTTATTCCATTCAGCCGATCTCAGATTCTGGCAGGAGCACTTTTAGCTTAGCATAGTTCATTGAATCGGATTAGACTATTAGCATCTCAAAAAATGACCAAATTTAAAGTTTTAAAGACTTTTCTGTAGTTACATCATGTACTATGACCAACAGAAAAAAAAAAGTTGCTCGTTTTCTGTGCTGAAATGGTTAGGAACTACAGTTTACTCTCATTCTGGTGTAATAATCAAGGAACTTTGCTGCCATACCATAGTTATTGCAGCGCAATGCTAATACACAGAAAATAACCTTTGATTTTACGTCAGTTGCTCAGTACATGATGTAACTTCAAAAGAGTGAAGCTTTAAATAAGACAAATATCCAAACTATTTGGCCATTTTTGAGTGAGATGCTAATGATCTAATTCAATTCAATGATCTATGCTAAGCTAAGCTAAAGTGAATCAGATAAAGGGATTTAAAAATGGTGAAACTCATCGTGTAACATTTGGAGAGCTTTAAATAAAGCAATTATCCAAACTATTTGGCCATTTTTCAGTGAGATGCTAATGGTCTAATCCGATTCAATGATCTATGCTAAGCTAAGCTGAACGTGAATAAGCTAAAGAGATTAATAATAGTAAAACTCACCCGTTTAACACTCTGAGAGCTTAAAATAAAACAATTATCCAAACTATTTGGCCATTTTTGACTGAGATGCTAACGGTCTAATTCAATACAATGATCTATGCTAAGCTAAGCTAAAGTGAATCAGATAAAAGGATTCGAAAATGGTGAAACTCGCAGTGTAACACTTGGAGAGCTTTAAATAAAGCAATTATCCAAACTTTTTGGCCATTTTTGAGTGAGATGCTAATGGTCTAATCCGATTCAATGATCTATGCTAAGCTAAGCTCAAAGTGAATTAGCTAGAGATTCAAAAATGATAAAACTCATCCTTTTAACACTTGGAGAGCTTTAAACAAAGCAAATATCCAAACTATTTGGCCATTTTTGAGTGAGATGCTAATGGTCTATTCCAATTTAATGATCTATGCTAAGCTAAGCGAAAAGTGAATAAGCTAAAGAGATTAATAATTGTAAAACTCACCAGTTTAACACTCGCAGAGCTTTAAATAAAGCAATTATCCAAACTATTTGGCCAATTTTGACTGTGATGCTAATGGTCTAATCCGACTCAATGATTTATGCTAAGCTAAGCTAAAAGTGAATCAGCTAAAGGGATTTAAAAATGGGTAAACTCAGCCGTTTAACACTTGGAGGGATGTAAAATGAGCCTAGTTCCAAAAAAGTTGTGTTCTTTTAGGCTCAGGAAGATTTGCGTGCATCAGGAGTGAACAATATCCTCCTCTACTAAAAGAGCGCAGAGGAATCAAGTGCAGAAAAACCCACGTCTTCCAGATGAGAGCGGTTGGCGTCACATTTTGGCTGGTGCATAATGCTGGTTTCGGTGTTATGCTGATGCAGGAGTGCATCCTGCAACTCAGTGGTCCATCTATCGTTACACTAATTAGGCCACGCTTTAACTAACTAAACACAACCGCTGGAGGAAAATCCTGCATCACTGCTACAGTTTTGATCGCGTTCTGCTTCACAGACGACAAGCAAACGCTGCCATTTCAACTAAAACTAAGTGCTAATGTACCATGTCTCTCTCTCTCTTTCTTACAAAAAATAATAATACAAATGTAAAAGAATTTCACAATAACAATAAAAATAATGCCAAATGGAAGAAACGAGGATTGCTCCACTGGACGGCGGCACCCGGACGGCTAGACGAACGGACGCTTCAGAGGCAGCTTTGTGGTGGCATACAAAAACGACAGGTTGGCCTGCGTTCCTTCCCTCCGTATTGCATACATACGTACATGTGGGAGTGCGAAGGTAGTATACAATAATACACAATTAAATAAAAACCGAAAGAGCATAGTTCTGCCAGACTCAAGAAAGTGTTCAGTTGTGTGGGCTTCATTGGACTGGTTTAGCACCCAGGGGTTCTGGCTCGAGGTGTCCGGAGACGTGCGCTTTTTGTTATTCAGGCAAAATACATGGTCCTCAGGGAGTCGTGGTGAATCTGCACCGCTTTGGCCAACGCTTGAGGATCTCGACCATTGCTCTGCCCGGAGACGTGACTTCCCTCCCCGCTACAAACATATGGGATGAGGTTAAATGCATTGATCAAACATGACAGTGAAAACATTCAGATTGTGACTGAAATACAATAATAGTCATTCATTTTTCTTCAGCTTAGTCCCTTTATTTATCAGGGGTTGCCACAGCGGAATGAACCACCAACTTATCCAGCATATGTTTTCCACAGTGGATAATTTCCTCAACATTCTACACACAATCCCCCATAATGACAATGTGAACAACGAGTTTTTGAAATTGTTGCAAATTTATTAAAAATAAAAAAGCTGAAGAATCAGATGTACATCAGTATTCACAGCCTTTGCTCAATACCTTGTTGATGCTTCTTTAACAGCGAGTACAGCCTCGAGTCTTTTTGAATATGATGCCACAAGCTCGGCTCACCTGTCTTTGGTAATTTTGACCCATTCCTCTTTGCAACACCTCTCAAGCTCTATCAGGTTGGATGGGAAGTAACGGTGTACAGCCATTTTCAGATCTCTCCAGAGATGTTCAATAGGATTTAGGTCTGGGCTCTGGCTGGGCCACTCAAGGACATACACAGAGTTGTTGTGAAGCCGCTCCATTGATATTTTGGCGGTGTGCTTTGGGTCATTGTCCTGCTGGAAGATGAACCGTCGCCCCAGTCTGAGGTCAAGAGCACTCTGAAGCAGGTCTTCATTCAGGATGTGTCTGTACATTGCTGCATTCATCTTTCCCTCTATCCTGACTAGTCTTCCAGTTCCTGCTGCTGAAAAACATCCCCACAGCATGATGCTGCCATCACCATGCTTCACTGTAGGGATGCTATTAGCCTGCTGATGAGCGCTGCCTGGTTATCTCCAAATGTAACGGCTGGCATTCACTCCAAAGAGTTCAATTTGAGTCTCATCAGAGCAGAGAATTTAGTTTCTTATGGTCTGAGAGTCCTTCAGATGCTTTTTGGCAAATTCCAGGCGGGGAGTGGTTTCCGTCTGGCCACTCCTCCATACAGGCCTGATTGGTGGATTGCTGCACAGATGGTTGTCCTTCTGTAAGGTTCTCCTCTCTCCACAGAAGAACTCAGGAGCTCAGACAGAGTGACCATCGGGTTATTGATCACCTCCCTGATTAAAGCCCTTCTCCCCCGATCACTCAGCTTAGATGGCCGGCCAGCTCTAGGAAGAGTCCTGGTGGTTCCAAACATCTTCCACTTACAGATGATGGAGGCCGCTGTGCTCACTGGAATTTTCAGAGCAGCAGAAATGTTTCTGTAACCTTCCCCAGCCTTGTGCCTTGAGACAATCCTGTCTCAGAGGTCTACAGACAATTCCTTTGTCTTCATGCTTGGTTTGTGCTTTGACATGCACTGTCAACCCTGGTAGCTTATATAGACAGGTGTATGCCTTTTCAAATCATGTCCAATCAGCTAAACTCCACAGGTGAACTCCAATGAAGCTACTGAAACATCTCAAGAATGATCAGTGGAAACAGAATGTAACTGAGCTCAATTAAGAGCTTCATGGCAAAGGCTGTGAATACTGATGTACATCTGATTTATCAGCTTTTTTATTTTTAATAAATTTGCAACAATTTCAAAAACTCTTTTTTCACATTGTCATGTGAAAATTGTGTGTAGATTGTTGACGAAAATAATTTAATCAATTTTTGAATAAGGCTGTAACATTAAAAACATGTGGAAAAAGTGAAGTGCTATGAATACTTTCCGGATGCACTGTACATGTGGAAAAATACGACATAATACGAGCCCATTTAAGCTAAAGCTACTGATCTCGGCCTCACCTGTCATGTTCTTTGTCCACCAGATGGTATCGGGCCCGGAAAGCCACGAGTCTGGCGTAGTATGCTGGCGCGGGGATGGAGACGGAGCGGGTGCAGCGCACATACGTGTGGCACAGCTGGTAGGTGAGAATCTGCAGCTCGTCAGCCGTAAAGCGATTGTCGTCCCACAGGACGTAGTAGTGTGAGGGTCGGCTGGTGCCCTAAGGAGAAAACCACAGGTCAGACGGGGTGCATCTCAATCAGCTTATTATTTATTAATAATGGTATTTATTTATCAATCAGCCGTATTATTTATTATATGCATATTTATATTTGTTTTAATAAAAAGTTTAGATTTGTCCACCTGTTGGGTTTTGGAGACGTCTGCATCACCATATGGGGCATAGAAATGCGATGTGTGTTTGGATATAACTCAGTTGTTTAACCACACTTCATTATTACTGTTCATTCATTAATTTGCTGGAGATTAGAACTGAATTTAGAAATGGTTTTGAAAAAAATCTTTGTGCTTAATAAACTAAATTAAATATGTAGGCTAATGGATGACTTCAGTGGAGTGAGTTTCCATCGTTTCCTTATCCACGAAAGTAAAGGAGTAAAGGAATGAGTAAAAGTAAAGTAAATAGAAAGTAAAGAGGCTGAATGGAGGAGGCTCGTTCTTTATCCTTGTGCTGCAGATGCCCTGTTTAACTGTTTTCTCGCAGTGAAGCGTTCAGTTTTTCCACTTACAATGTAAATAGCAA